TTCAAATGCTTTGCGCAAAATATTAATAATTATGCCATAAATAATTATTACTTAACGTATTTAATATGTTAAAAATAATCAGTGCAAATTATAATTTTTAACCTATTTTTTGGTCTTTAAAGTTAATTTTTTGAAAGTTTATAATGAAAAAAAAGGTTTATTTGTTACCATAACTTATAACTCAACTTCAAATTTGAAATTAAGATTATTAAATAGAAAATTGTATGTGAATTAAAAAAGTAGTATAGTATTTAAAGTGTTAATAATTTATTCATAACCATGAAAAATTTTATAGATCACGTTATATAGTTCTTTGTGTTATATAAAATCTATAATAATAATATCTAGTAATAAATTAGTATTTGGTACTTAGTCAAGTTGAAACATTGGATATAACTGAAATTGTTGGGGAATTAATTATTTGAATTTAAATTATTTTTATTGTCTATTAAAAAATCAGCTACTAAAAGGACGGTTAATCCGTCCAGATGCCCTCGAATAGAATGTATGCTGTCAACTCATATTCGTGACAAGTTTACTTTCTAATGTTACAAAAAAAACAACTTCATGCAAATTTCTGATCAGTAGATATTTTTATTGTATTTGCATTGTTATTTACGTGTAAAAATCATAGAGTAACTCTATGGTAAAAATGACACAGTAAAATTAAAATTTAAGTTCCATCACTCGTCAATAATAAGATTGTTTTTATAAATTCAGAAAAGCGACTGCTAAAATAAATCTAGTTATAGCAATGCAATACGTTAAAACAATGGAATAGGCTGAATATAACGCTCTCCAGTTGGACTTAAGTACAAAGATCTGAATCCGTAAGAGGCTCACCTCTATAAAAAAGATAAAAATTTAATAGTAGATTAATATAAAAAAATATAATAATAATTTAAATGTGATTAATAAATATCAGAGGGGTGAAAATAAATAGGAACGTTCCAAAGAATTTTTGCGAAACAATTTGTAGCTAGCATTCTGTTCCGGAGCAAATGGTCGGAACGATTTTTATTAATAGTTCCGTTCCGGAGCAAAT